GTCGTTACATAATTTACTTACAGATAGCATATTGCAGTCTAGATTAGGCATATAAAGAACGGACTGCAATATCAAATTTGGTGATATAGTAGTTAATCCAATTCCTGCATCTCTAGAACTTGTTCCATCAGCAATTCTGATGGATGAGATTTCCTTACATTCACTGTAACGATGAAGGAGTGTAATGTCTCCGGTCATATAATCATATGCTCCTGAATTAATAATCCACATTTGCTTTTTTACAGAGTAAGCAGATAAACTGAGTAAGCAATTACCTCTCTAAGCAACGGAAGCATTACGGAGAATACCCTAATGAGAAAACATTTACATGAGGGCCTCTAATTGGGTTAGACTGAAGGGAGAGCTCTCGGTAGTACTGGCTGCAGGGGATAATTCTTCTAAAATTACCATATTACTCTAAATGTCATTTTTATAATTTTTCCTATATGCTGGCTTGCCATGTAATTTCCAGCATTTATCCCTAATATGACCCAATTTTTTGCAATAATCACACCAAGGTCTCTATTTATTTCCTCCAATTTCAGAAGTACGCCCGACGAAAGCATAGGCGTGCTCGTGATTTAGGGCACTAGGCTAAAGTCCACCGAGCAGCGGCTTCCTCTGAGCAGCAAGGGCAGAAGTTGTGTTCGTCGGGTTCGTGACAGAGTAAAAATCACCCATCATGATCTTCTTTCTACTCTCTTCTTGACGGACTTCAGAGAAAGCTTCTCTGATATTCGGCAGCGGCTTTGTACCTAGAACGCGACCACAAAACTCATCCAAGTTTTTGTTTAGTCTCATAAAAAATTTGAAGATCCTTTTATGTTCAGTGTGAGTTTTGAAGAGTTTCGAGTCTTCAGGACAATTCCACGAGTGTTCCTTGAAGATGTCAAGTTGCTGCCAGTACCGAGAGAGTGCATTGTAGTACTGTGTTACATTGAGCTCCCCCTGTCGCAGGTCGTACAGCTGAGTCTCGATCTCGAAGGTGGCAGAGATATTGTCTCGGCTGGAGTAAAACTTGCGTGCGGCTACCCAGATGTCGTATGCGGTTTCATACAACAAAAAATTTTCTCCAATCTTTGTTGTCATTGAGTTGACTAACCATGACATTACCAGATTGTTTTCGGCCTTCCATGAACGAGCACTTGGATCATTCACTGGTGGTTGAACAGCTTCTCCCGTAAGATATTCATCCATGTTCCTCCTTCGGATGAACATGAGAACGGATGAAGACTATTGGAGATAATTACTTTCATTCAGTCTATGTCCAATGACAAATGAAGGTGTCTGATCAATGTGAGAATGGTCGATAGGTATTGGATTGAAGGAACCCGAGACATGATCAATGTGGGAGGAGTTTTGCTCATCCATGCCCATTTCAGCTTGAGTTGGATGATGAAAGATTTTGGATTAGAGTTGCCGCTCTGAAACCATGAAGAAAACAAAGAGAGAAAGTTTGTGTAACGAGAAAAAATCCCCTAATTTTCTTCAATCTTATATGGGTACAAATATGCCAAATATGTAGACTTTTGGTCAAGACAAAAAACGGTTAAAAGATGCTAACAAAAAACTAAAAAATTAATAGAGAGAGCACCCAACTGTCCTAACAATACCAGCTATCCTTAATGTAAGTATACATGTATATATACATTTCTACATATGAACATTCTACAATCATGTATAGTCTGGATTGCTAATGACAGGCCACAGCATTCCTAAGCAACTAATCTTGCTAGCGGGTTTATCTTTTCTAACTCAACCACACTGCCCACATTCTGTGCAAACGATTTGCAGGAAACCTTTTCATTTAGGACATGACGCCTGATATGTGTGTCCGTCATTGTCTCTCCACATATATCAAGAGATCTAGTTGTCAGCAGG